CACAGAATTCAGGGATCTCAGGTCAGAGTTCAGGACTCTCAGGTCAAAGTTCTGGGCTATTAAGTCAGAGTTCAGGTTTCTCATGTTAGAGTTCAGGTTTCTCAGGTCAGGGTTTAGGGTTCTCGGTTCATAGTTCAAGGATCTCATGTTAGAGTTCAGGTTTCTCAGGTCAGAGTTCAGGTTTCTCAGGTCAGAATTCATGGTTCTCAGGTCAGGGTTTAGAGTTCTCAGTTCATAGTTCAAGGATCTCATTTTAGAGTTCAAGTTTCTCAGGTCAGAGTTCAGGGTTCCAAGGTCAGAGTTCAGGGTTTTCAGCTCAGAGTTCAGGCTTCTCAGGTCAGAGTTCATGGTTCTCAGGACAGAGTTCAGGGCTCTCAGGTAAGAGTTCAGTTTTCTCAGGTCAGGGTTCAGGATTCTCAGGTTAGAGTTTAGGGTTCTCAGGTCAGAGTTTGGGTTTCTCAGGTCAGGGCTCGGGTTTCTCAGGTCAGAGTTTACTGTTCTCAGGTCACAGTTCATGGCTATAATGACTGTTTAAATTGGGTTTTAAGAACAGGGGTCTCAGTGTTTAACTATATGAGTCTTAATCCGTATACTTTTGGTCCTCTCTCATTGCTGAACAGGTTGCATAGGTTTAAACATCAGGAATGCGTGTTATGTACCTGGCAGTGCCAATTCAGCTTTAGACTGGACAGAAAATAAGGTTCTCCTAGTGCTAGTCCTGATAGGCCACCCCCGGCATTTACAGCCAGTCAGAGCTAGATAGCTTTGAAAAGATTTTATTCATTATCTGGACCCACTAGGGGCTTAGGCTTTGCGTGTCTGTATTTTTGTCCAATCTCTTGAAAAGCAGCTGACAAAAATGGTGACTACTACAAAAACCTGTAATATTACAATAAGCTGTAATGGTACAAAAACCGGTAATGATACAATATGCTATGATAATACAATAAGTTGTACTAATACAATAACCAGTAATAATACATTGAGCTGTAATAATACAATACAATGTAATAATACAATGAGCTGTGATAATACAATAAGCTGTAAGCTGTAGCTTCTGGAAAGACTTTTACCTTTACCCGTATGTCTCACTTCCTCAATTCCAACTCTCTCCTTGACCCTCTTCAATCTGGCCCCCTCCACTCTACTGAGACTGCTCTTATCAAAGTTACTAACTACCTAATCACAGCTAAATCCAAAGGCCACTACTCCATACTAATTCTTCTTGACCTCTCTACTGCCTTTGATACTGATGATCATGCTCTCCATCTTCAAACTCTTCTATCACTTGGTCTCTGTGACTCTGTCCTCTCGTGGTTTTCCTCTTATCTCTTACCTCATTTGGATTCCACTACCACCTGTATGCTGATG